ATTCCGCGAAACTCGTGTCACCTATTTCTCTTTCTATGGCACGATTCGGCGTGTGACTAATGGCGGCATATTCATAGCGCAACCTCAACCTTTCTTCGTTCCACCTTCCTCATTCTCTCTCATTCTCTCTTTCTCTTTTATTCTAGCACGTGCGCGCTTTCTCTCTCTTACAAAGGTCTGGCAGTTAACCTCAGACAATCCCTTCATCGCGATAATATACGGCTACCCTTAAATTTTCGTTCCTCTTCAACGACCACGAGTTCTTCTCCCTCTCTCTCTCTTTCTCTCTTCTTCTCTTTGGCTCTCGTTCTTACACGATCTCAAATGAACGGCAAAGTTCCTTATTTGCTTCCGGAACAAATTGTCTTTTCGCGATCGATTGTTTCAAGTACATATATTCCTTACTCTTATAAGGTATACCTTAAGTCTACAAATTTTAATTAATTTTCCTTCCATTCTTCAAATCGTGCAGAAAACTAAAAATAAAATAAATAAAAATGAATCGTGAGAAGATATAAGGAAAAACTATCGTATCTACTACTACTACTACTACTGCTATACGTATTTCTACGACGTCGATAGAAAAGGTCGTTGCTTTAAAGGCGGAAAGTGAACGATTTATTTAAGACGTGATACGCCTTTCCGGCTTGAAGCCTCGAAGCGGTACTTCCCGTGGGAGCAAAGAAGAAAGAAAGAGACAGAAAAGTAACGTCGAAGTAAGCGAGAGGAAAAAGAAGAAGAGAAGAGAAGAAGAAGAAGAAGAACGGAGAGAGAAAGTCTCAAATCGTTTTACGAGGGTAGTTTTAAAACGATTTTACGAGAGCGGCGCAGAATTTCGAAATAAATTTGCATCAGTTTTACTGCTCCTAATATACATAACTACCGGTGTTTGGCACTGATACCCACGTGTACGAAGGCGAGCAGCCTAGTCAATGTCGACGAGGTCTATGCTAGTAGCCCAGTGGTGGGATTTTGTAATACGCCGCCGTCTTCTTTCGGAAAGAAAAGACGGCGCAAAGGCGCGCACGTGCGCTTGCGCACATTTCTCTTTTTATAAGTGCTACGATACGTTAGTAGGTTGAGATACGTGTATATATGTATATATTCAACCTTGCAGTGTTTCATTGTGCATTCATAGTGCTTTAAAATTTACATGTTAATCTTATCATTTAAAATTGAAAAGTATAATACATATAAACGATCCAATTTTCAATTGCAAGGTACACGGTTGCATCCGTATTGTATCTACAAAAGATTATACAGTTTATGAAATAATTGAATTTATGTAACAAATTTTTACTTATATATAAAATATTTAATATGTCGGGGCCAATAGGATCCTTAGGGTCTTACCACGGAAATATGATTAAATCGAAGAGTCTTCCAATCCCACAATTTAGTCTCAAAAAAAAAAAGAAGACAAATTGTTTAATTTTTAATTTTTACACTCATCTTTATTACCGTTACCGAATAAAATTCTAATTTAATATTAGGAGTTAGTTATTTAGAGGGGGCCTTAAGATTGAATTGCACTGGGGCCTCTCAAGTACTAAATCCGCCACTGAATACTCGTAAACGAGAGTTTCGTTCCTTACGTCTTTAATGAGATACTTGATCTATAATTCACTCTGCGGTCTATTTCGGTCGAAAGTGTAGGAGGATTGCGCACGCATAAACACACGCCGTCTGGTACAGGAAATGAGTGAGTGAGTGAGTGAATGTGTGTGTGTGTTTGAGAGAGAGAGAGAGAGAGAGAGAGAGAGAGAGAGAGAGAGAGAGAGATTGATAGAGAGAGGGAGAACGAGAAGAGATCCGTACACGACGGCCGCGTATGGCACGCATTGCGGTTGTCAGTTCTAGTCAACGTGTAATTTACTATCCGAGCGCTCTGGCTCGATGCAGATGCAGGCAGGCGGGCAGGCAGGCAAGCACCGCCATTGGTCTCTGAGAGGTAGTGCAATGCGAAGAACCGACTGCCCTCTCGAAGCAACAACGCTTGCCTGCCAGCGAGTGGATGATGGTGTATTGCAAGAGAGGTACTACCCAACGCCCGGAATCCGTTAAACCACGAGCATGCTATAAACTAGTGAAACGCACTCAGGGCACTGGGGCTGCCAGGAGTTTGGAGATGTCGCACGCCATTGCGCGCTGGAATCGTCCGCGTCATTCAGGAACTTCACGATACACTTTTATTTCGACCATGAACGTGTACCCTTCTAATCCTTTTATCAGGATCGTTATAGTATATCTGAGACAGAGATAGAAAAAGGAAGAGAAACATTTTCTATTGATCGTGCAGACTCGAAACTTCTAACTTCGGACTATTCAACATACGATTCTTTGAGATATTTTAGTCATCAAACTTTTCTTATTTACATGAACATTAGTGTTTCAAGTTTGAGAATCACTGATCCATACTTACGCTTTTTACCGATTCACTCGTCCATCCAACCTATCACTATCTCTCTTTCTCTCTATTTCCTCTTACTCAGCTGGTGGCTTGCTGGTGTGAGCATGACGTTACTCGAGTGAAATGTCGTTTACTCTGCGAACCGGTCCCTTACGTTCGTAACCGTTCGTTACCGTTAGTTCCGCTTGGAATGGCGTTTTCGCAACGCAAACACGTATGTGCAAGGCTCGCTACAGAAACCAACCAGCCAACCTGCCAACCAGCCAGCCAGCCAGCCAGCCAACCAACCAACCAGCCAACCAGCCGGTAGGATTTAGGATTGAGTACGCGTATTTCGTTTTCGTGAAGGTGTGGCGCTATTTCGACTTCTATTATTCGTTATCTTCGCCACGAGTGCACGAGCATGAAAATAAGAAGCACTCACTGAGGTGTAGATTCCGTGACAATTGTTTTTTTTCGTTACATACGATTACTATCAAACGGTTGTGACGTCTACGAATTCAAATACCCTAACACCATGTTAACTGTTATCTAACTTTGTTCTTTCACGTTCTTTTAATTCGACATGTTCTATTTCAAAAGCAATAAATCAATGATCGCATTTCAACGGAATACTGCTTTCCAATACCGAGAATAATATTGCACAAATATTTCGTATTACTTGAACAATAAAACCCGATACTTTCGGCCACAAATCTTCACAACTAGTTTCGTCGTGTCTACTATTAGAAATATGTGAAACCTAAAAATCCAGTTATTAACTTTAATCATGAAAAAATCAAGACTAAAGATAATAGTACTAATGTACATATATATGTGATGCAACTTCCTTGGTCGCTCGATCTTCCGGTACTCTTTCCTGCATACAAAGTGAACTCAGCAATGCCTTTTCTGTCACTCTTTTTCTTTCTCTCTCCCTTTTTTTTTTTTTCTTCCTTCTTCCATTTTCTTCTTATGCTTTTCCCTTTTCTTTCTCTCTCTCTTTTTGCTTGTAATATTTCCGCCTATTCGTTTCTGTACATTTGCAAGGTCTCCTGGTATATACGCGAGCCCATTTCCCGCGTCCCTTGAAAGTAATACAGCTTTCTCTCTTTCTCTCTCTTTTTCTCCCTTTCTCTCTCTTTTTCTCCCTTTCTCTCTTACCTTTTCCCCTGCCGCGTACAGTTTATTTATTTCAGTATGAATACTGAGAGACGGACGGAAATAATGATTTTAATAATACCAGAGCCCTAGAATCGCAAAGAGAGATAGAGAAAGAGAGAGGGAGAATGCGAGAGATGGAAAGGAAGGTAAAAAGGGAAACAAGGGTGATACATAGCTAAAAAGACGAGCTAGGACCGTAGCTTGAAATTGTAGTGTATCTCATGAGAGAGAAAAAGTATGCCGAGAGAAACACATGGAAGGTCAAGAGAATCCCTTCGACGCCTCTTTCCTCTTTATGATGAACGTCGTACGCAGTCATCTTGTGGGATTTACTGTAAAGTAAAGTTTGCATATCCAAGCGAACGTTTATCCAGGTTCTCTCGATTTGAACCGATATTTATGAATCGGTAGGGACGGTAGATCGTCCTCTTTATGGATTCAAAAATGATGGTTTAGCTGTTAGAGGAAAAGGGTAGAATCGAGGAGGAAGAGAAGTTGCTGGACCATGTCGACTGGTTCCCAAGCAGCCGAAGTGGACCTATCGACTCGAAACGAGTGTGCTCGACGTTAAAATCCCGGTCGGTGCTCCCGTTTCTCAGCCCTTTAGTTCTCTCTCTCTCTCTCTCTCTCTCTCTCTCTCTCTCTCTCTCCCCTCCCTATTCTCCCTTTCTCTCTGTTTCCCTCAGTATGTCCTTCTATCTAGCTCGTTTGTTTGTATTGGACGTAAACGATGCAATGGGTGGACACGGTCCAGCAAATCCGAAATCCCCTTTTTCTCGATATAAAACCTTGCCCCTTTTTTCGGCTACCAATCCTCGAGCCGAATACGACTTCACGCCGGTACTCTAACTCTCTATGAGAATACGAAGCAACGGAAGTGTATCGACTATGGGTATATACATAGGTAACCGAAAAAAGTCGAATCGTAACAAACGCGATCGATTTTCCCCTTCTCTCGGCTATTCGAATTCCCCGAAAATAAAAAGCGGAAAAGAGCGACGCGGAATAGTAGGATGGAATTCGATTTCGAGACTCGAAAACGAATTCGACTACTTTGATTCCGCTTAATTCCTTTCAGGCATACTCCGCAAAGTGCTGGAGGTGGTAGATCGATGTTGTAAATTTCATTCGGCGTAGAAGCTTTGTTGTCTCTATTCGAATGCCGTCCATTCACGAAAATATATAAACGAAATCGCTTTCCTATTTTCCAATTTAGATCTATTATTTTGTTGTGTTGTGAAAACAAAAGGAAATGAAACCGACGAAAAAAAAGATAAAAGCAAAAACGGGAAAAAAATATAGATCTCGTTTTTCTACAGTAATGGGAAGTTTATTAAATGTTCTTTTGTGTTGTGCAAAATGTTGTTAGATTGTTGATTACAGGCGATATTGAGGTACGGAGTGATTGGCGATTTCAATGGGGAGTGACATCCTTATTCTGTTTCAGGGTGTGACGGGCGACCGGCTGGCCGGGGGCGCCGCACACCTCCTCCATCTCTTCTTCTTCTTGCCACGTCCACAACACACAATGTAACATCAACTACCACTACTAGAGTCGTCCGCGCGAACCACGTTCTCAATGTACTCGATGTGGTACGTCACACCATAACCCCTACTCGGTATCTCTCTGAAGATTTGTCATCCTTATTAAATGTGTTGGACTGTATCACTTTTACGTTTTCACGTGTTTCACAATAATTAGTGTTCCTCGATGTTTTAATATCTTGACACAAACTTGATGTTATAATAACATTTAAACGCAAGAAGAGATTCTTGCGAGATAACGAATGGTTAAACGTCAACCGAAGAATGCTTATCTCGAGATATTATTAATTTTATTGTTAATTCAATATTTTCTTGTCCCTAGATTCGAAGCAGCATTCTTCGCGTTCGTTGTTGTATTTTATACGTTACTTCATATTTTGCATTTGGTACTTATACATATATGTATGTATGTATGTATTTATATATGTATGTATGTATAGATGTATGTATATACACGTATATGTATACGTACGTCGTTGGATATTGTCTTCAGTGTTCGCTGAGCTCCGTTACAATGTGACTTGTGGTTGGTTTAGTTTCATTGGTTTATCAGTGTTCGATGTTGGCTGCAATTGTTGGTTGTTAGGTGTTTAGTGGTCACTCTGTGTTGGTGCTCACCCTACCGACTCGTCCCAGTATCCGAAACTCCGACGTTCCCCCAACGACTCCTCGAACTTGATGTTAGAAGTACAGTATCAAGCTCATTTCGTGTTAAGAGTTACGCTTCCCTTCGTATTTCGGACTGATTGTCGATACGTAATTAAGTCCAGTACGAGAATAACGGAGCGCGCGTTTTGAGCATCGTCGGATTCTCGGCGTGGTGTTTTAATTGAAACGTGTAAGAGAATAAATTCTTAACAAGACACGCATGATTGGAAATAACTGTTTTAATACAATTAATTGAAATCAAAGTCGATGTATTTTTAAACGATTCGTTCGTTCCATCATTGGGTCCTCTGGTTTCACGAAATAAGGCATTAGAAAAATAATGAAAATTAACCGGGGGACGATCAAATTGATTAATTATTGATCGTATCTATAGTAATTGGATTACTTACACGTATAAAAAGCAAACGTTTGCTATGAACGATTAATTCTGGCAAAAAATAACATTCGATAGGTTATTTGCGAAAGAAGAGAAACTTTTAGCTTTGGTGTGTACTGGTCGACACGATCAAACCCCGTTTCAGCAAATAATTGCATTAACCGCGCGTAAATGCGGGGCATCGAATATTTCTTTAAATTAGTGATGGTAATTAGGCTGAGAGAGTGAAAAAACGAGTCGACGCGGTGCTTTCCCCTCACTCCTTCTTTAATGGAGCAGGAAAGCGGGTAGCAAACAGAAATCGTGGAACGGGTTAATCTGTGGTCGAAACGCTTGAATTCTTGATGAGTAGCAAAAGAGCGGGCGTCAAGCTCGACTGCTCGCGCGAGGATATAGTTTTAAAAGCGATTTAAACGTTTACACAGAGAGATCGAGAGAAACAAAGACAGGTATGGGGAAAACGGGTGCCGGTAAGGATAGTGAGAGAGAGAGAGAGAGAGAGAGAGAGAGAGTATAATGTGTGAGAGTTTGAAGGATATTTCATGCGACGTCACGCACACTTTGTATGCGGGACAAGGTCTGTAAATGAAAGAAAAATTGGTCGTTTCGGTCGTAGCTCGGTCGAATCGTCCGGAATAAACGGGCTAGAAAGATTCTGACAAGCGATGTACACGGAAAGGAATAGGAAGGTGTTGGAGAGAAGGAAAGGGACTCGAACCATTTATTCTCTGGCACGAATCTTTTGCAGTTTTACCTCCCTACACGAATTTCCTACGCGGAATGGAATCCGCAAAAAGCGACTCGATTCCAGGCTCGTCCGAGCGATATTAAAAAGTAATTGGATTTCGATGTAGGATAGTTGCTACCGATGCATTGGTTCGGCTACGGTAGAAGAAAAAGAGATGGAGGTTTAGAGAGAGGGAGGGGAGAGGTAGTATCGAATCAGATCGAGAAAACGGTTGGTAGGTGGGCTGCTCACGTTGTACTCGCGAAACGGAATAATGGACAGTCGTTAAATTTAATTGGCACATAATTATCGGTAGAGCGGCCAGCAGGCAGGTAGTTGCGCGCCACCAATCGTCGCAATCCCATTGCCCCAGCTTTAATATCGGAGGAAAGCTCAAATGCAAAGGGACGTAGGTGTACGTCTACGTGTACGTGTACGTGTATACACATGTATAGAAATTTATATATATATGTTTCTAGGGTAGGTCCACATGTTTCACCATGGCAGAGCCCATGCTCTGTGGTTTGTACCGGTCTAACGAGTCTGGAATCGACCTATGCGGGGGGCTTCGTTCTTCGATTCTCCCTCCGCTTTCCTTTTTCTCTCTTTTCCTCTCTTCCCATGACTGTTTCCACCGCCACCTAGTAGAACTACTCGTATATTCGAGAGCTTTCGTGCCTATTCCGAATCACAGCGTAGGGCGTAATTGAATCGGTTGCTTTAGCCAGAAACACATAACTTTTACCCACCCGATATTTCATGGATTGCATGCCAAGTGAATTCTTACAGTTACTAAACGAAATATCCTACTCTTTATTATATTATATATCATTATTTTTATTAGAGTTATATGATTTGAATCCGCAATGATTTTGCAAGGTGTCGCTGTAGTAAAAGGATCTAATAAATTATGAGGTACAGTTCGAAACCGAATGTGATAAGGATATTGGAAAGATGAAAAGATAAGTTAGAAGAAGAATCATTAAAATTGAAAGAGGACGACGTGTTCGTCTTTGTACAATGTCCAAAGACAAAATGTGTCTCGCGAAGAGAGATGTCTTCATGGTGGAAGCGCAGTGTGCTCGACCATGAAATGGGAACAGGATACGTTAGACTAGGTGTAATTAAAAGCCGTAAATATGAGCTTGCTCGAGCAAATTAATTTATGAATCAATTACGCGAGGGTAGAGCCGCGTTTAGATATCGCTACCGGCCAGCAGCACAACCGAGAAGCGAGCTTACGTATCTCTCTTCCTACTACGTACATGTCGTGCGCTTGCGTTCTGCGAAATTTTGTGTGTGTGTGTGTGTGTATGCGTTGAGAGAAAGATAGAGAACATTTGCGACGAGCTCTGGTGGTGGCGGTTCCGAACGATGTTGGTAGATCCTTTATCGGATGGTTCCAATAAATAAGCTGATCGAGATACCATCTTTCATTTCGATAATTATTATTCGAGGACGGTGTTAATTAATTAAAGACAAGAGTAGACGATATCGCGCGTAACCGAATGGAGAGCTCTAGTTCTCTCGTTAGACGAGAGCAAATGAACGAACGAACGAACGAGCGCGTACACGAACACGCATACGTGAGTCACGATCGTACCAGGTGATAACTCCTCGAGCTCTCTGGCTAATTACCGGATGAAAGAGCTATCTAGCGACTGTCGTCAAAGCACTGCCGCGAGACCCACTAAATACACTTGCCATCCTATTGTTATAATTTAACTTATCATCTATCACACATTTCATTATTATTATTTTTTATACTTATATACTTTGTCTTGTACAAATAATCAAATACCTTGTAGAAAGAGGATAATTGGCGTGTTCTAGCAATCGACATCGTGTCCTAGTTATTGACAAGCTTTTTTTTTTCTCTAAAAGCTACGAGAGAGTAGGATCAGAAAATGTTCATCTCGAACAAGACTCAGGATGATCACGTATTCGGAGTGATTCGGCCTCGAGCCAGGAGACGAAAAAGTCCTCATAACTTATTAATTTAACGCGTGCCTTTCTCTAGTCAGAATCGTATCTGAGTGAGAGTCTATTGGCAGTGTTCCCAGGCGACAAGAAAAAGGAACGCGATACAACGACTTTTTCTCGCTCGTTTCACCATGAAGTCGTCAAAGCTTTTCTCTATATTCTCTCAGGACAACACGAGGTAGCAAACAAATAAATAAAGATAGTATTACCAAGAGATGATGAAGAAGTGCCACTGAATATTTGATAGCTCTGTGAAGCGTTACGCGTTAACCTCGTTCTTACTCTTTTGCAAGCTAGCGCTTTTCCACCGTTGAGTACTGTTCTACTACTGCCGTATGTATATAGTTCGACTACATCGGAATATTAATCATTCTCAACCGGCTGAGAAAGAGAGCGAGAATGAGATGCAAGAAATAGCGCGTGGGATTTTTCAGTTACTAAAAGATGATTTATCGAAAAGAACAGAAAACACCATGGATACGTCGATTCGAATATTTTTAAAAGATATCTTAGTGGTAATCAAAGGAAAAAAAATCTAAATTAGATAAGGTAGGATCGTAGAAAAGCTTGCCGAAAATAATTTCATGCAGTTGCAGCGTCTCAAAACGACATATATTCGGAGCTGCTTGCAGCACCGCATTGAATCCCACGATGTAAATAGACTCGATAACGGATACATCGTTGCCGCACGACAGAAATTCAATAGTCGATAGATATTCGAGGAATATACCCCGCTAGCACGTGACGCCCAACGGTGAGCGTTGGGATACAAGAAAGGGAAGTTTGGAGGACTGAAGAAGCTTCGTGAAGAGAGATAGAAAAGGAAGAGTGGAAAAGGGTCTTTGGATTGACTGAGAGAGCGAGCGAGCTGGCTGTCGTGCTTGAGCGTGCTGCACGAGCGCCGCTTCTATTCGATTTAGGTTCCCACTTCTCCAACCTTCCACCCTTTCTTCACCGTATATTCCTTCCTAGATTTGATTTACGTGTAAAATATTCACCTTAGCCGAGCTTTCGTTAGAGTTTCCAACTTCCAAGAGATACTCCAATGTGTTCGGAAGAAACTAAGGAATGAGAATAGAAATTGAAAGTCATCGATAATTTTTGTTTTTTAATCAGCGTTCAAATGCGCATACTGGAGAAACTAAAAAAATACGACTTGGAGAAACTCCCATCAGCATTTAGTTTAGGATAAGCTTGATAAATGATTTCTCAGGTCTTACTTTGAGTAACTTTAATGCTTATTTTGGGTAGCTGGTATTCCGTGCTCGCTCGCGAGCTCTTTGGTACACATAC